TGCATGATTATTATGTGTCAATTAAAATAAAAAAGTTATAATTCATTGGCTTTTCAAGATGTTCATTTTAAAATATGATTTATCTAATAAAACGGACAAGGACTCTGGAAAATGGCTAATTCTAGAACTGGGGCAGGGAAAATACATCATGGGTCTGGAGCATATTATAGTGCTGAAAAGTAAGGAAATGCTACACACATACATACAGAGGATGAGACTATGTCAAAGGAACACAGGAGCCAACTGAAGGATCTCCAACTGGTCAAATGTGGAACAATTTGAGGAACAAAATAAATAATGTGGTTGAGGATTATAACCCAAAATAATAAATAAATATCCATGAATCCATAGTGAGATAAATAAATGATTGAATAAATAAATGGGAAAGAAGGTACAAATTTTTCTTATAGAAGAATTCCAAATATTATAGGTAAATACTCTGTCCATCCGTGCGGTGCTCCTCCTCCTAGCCTCTTGAGGGTGAACTGGATTTGATGACTCACTTTAAAGAACAGAGTTTGGAAAGGGGAAAAATGGCAATTTTAAGTGGAGAAACCTGGCCAATACCTCTAACCAAGCAATAAAGGTTAAGACTGCCAATGATAAGTCATGTTCATGTCATGTAGCCTCAATGATAGGATGTGATGAAATATACACTCCAGAGGTAAAGTGGTCTTTTTCCCCAAAACCCAGAATCTCAGTCTAATCATGAGAGCAGTACCTGACAAATTCAAATTGAGAAACATTCCATGAAATACATGATCAGTAGTCTTCAAAGCTGTGAAGGTTATGAAAAATAAGGAAAGACGGAGACAGAGGAGACCAAGAAGACACGACAATTAAATGCAATGTAGAAACCTGGATTGGAACTTGGAACAGGAAAAGAACGTCAGAGGAAGAACTTGTGAAATCTGAATACAGTGTGGGGTTTAGCTAATAGTAATGTGCCAATTTTAATTTTTTATTTTTGACAAATGTATCATGGTTCTGTAAGATGTTAACATTACAGCAAACCGGGGAAAGGATATGCAGAAATTGTACCATCTTTGCAATTTAAATGTAAAATTTAAAATTATTCCAAAGTAAAAAGGTTGTTAAAAAATCATTAGTCCAAGTAAACTACGTCTGAAGATGAATCTGGCCTGAGGCCTTCTGTTGGATCCTCTGGTTTAGAAGGAAAATAAATGTTCCCATGACATTGTTCCCCTGAATCATCAGAGATCACAGTAAGCAACCAGCCCTTAACTTGAAGATCAATCCTCCATTACACTTAGATGTATAATCTTTTCTTTCCTCCTAATAAATGTCCTGATCTTTCCTCCCTCCTATACACATATACACACACACACACATACACACACATATAGACACACATATATACACACATATACACATATATATACATATACATATATATATGTTTTTTCTTTCTCCTTCCTGATATGCTAATGTAATGGTTGGAGCTGTAATAGCCATGTGGATCATGAGATGACCTTTGCACTGGAAGCCCTGTTCAGTGAAACAACAAGATAATGTATTTTATCAAATCAAACATACTAATTTAAGGCACACCATTATTCTATGTACCACAGAACAAGAAAGTGCTACCAATTAAATTAGAACACAGTGTTTTCTTATCCCTTAGATTTTTAAATTTCAGTTACTGGAAAATCTCTTTTACACTTATTTAAGCACAGACTTTTGTTATTGAATCAGTCTTGTGTACACACATAAAAAGGAAACTGTGCTAAATAAATTGTTTCAAGTACTGCTAGAACTTCTTCAGATTCAAATTTCAACTCTTCTCAATCACTTCTGTACTCAGAATCATTGATATCTCTTAATATTGTCCTCTGTGCCATCAATCGTGCTGCTAACGCAGTATTTTTTAAAAGAGTACACCTCTAATATCTCCAGGACTTTTTCTTAGCCAATGATATCATTTTGTTGAGTTTTGCAGTGCATCCTCAGGCAATGACAGGTATGGCCAACAGTGATTGTAAGATACATCCCAATTTCAAATATGTTAAAATGTAAAGAAAAAAAAATGCCTCTTGGAATCCACAAAATGTGATTGAAAGCTCTTCCACAGTAGCCCTGAACTGTTTTCTTCCATACTTCCTTTATATATGAAAAAGAAAACCTATCTTTTTTAAGACTCTGCTTTTCTGGTCTTTGTTACTACTCATAACCTAACCCAAACCAAACGGTCACAGGATTCCTAAAAATATGATAGCCATGAGTACTTTCCTTTCTTACTGTACCTCATCCCACCCCTATAGTTCCCTTGACTAGTGAATCAAGGTGTCAATTTCTTTGCTTTTACTTTTCAGGTGTCCTCACACTTTGCTAATGTGATTACTCTCATTTCACCTTTCCCTTCAGCTTTCCTGAAGCAAATTCTCCATCAATATTTCTCTGAACCTGAACTCAGGACCACAATAACAACAGCAACAACAGCAACATCAGATGATGTGTAAAACAAAAATTGTTATTTTAAAATCTGAAGCATAGTATCACTTTCAAGATTACAGATAATGCTTTCCTCTACTAAATACTTGATTAGATACGTCCCTCAGGCTTGTGAAAAGAAACTGTAATTGCTGGTAAATGAAAAGAAAAATTAAAGGAGAATTTAAAAATCAGAAATGTAGAGCAAATTTCCAGAGTAGAGAAGATTCAGGAGAAATTAATGGGTGCTTTGTACTGCTTGTCACACACATTTGTAAGAAAAAAAATACTTTTCCTTTTTCTGGAAAATGAAGTACAAGTTGTCAGTGACAACCATCTATTAAGAAATTTCCTTTTGTGATAGAGTGAGGGTTTTTTTTCCCCAGAGGTAAATTATTCAACACAGTTAATTTGAATCCGTGTTTGAGTCTGAGATGAAGTTATCCATTTTACCATTTTCCCTCAGTCCCGATACTATCGTTGCCTGAGACTTTGGTACCCATAGCAACAGCCACTGTTTCGGACATCATTGCCCCAAGCAACAGAGCACAACGAATGACTGACAAGCCTCCAGTTGTATGTCTCAGGGTGGTATTTTCCAGGGCTGGAAGACTGGGGCACAACTCACTCTCAAGTATTGAAAGTCAGGCTATCAAAGAATTGGGAAGGCTGTGTGTATGTGGGAATGTGGTCCACCTGTAAGAAGTTTGCTCACTCATTTTGAGAGGAATGTGGTAAGGGAGGGTGGGAAAATGAGACTTGAGCAATGGATAAGGCCAAGACATTGAAAAGTGCCAGTGGGGTCAGCTTGGTCTAAATGTTTCTCCTGTTTTTCCCACAGTTGCCCCACATATTCAAAAGGCTGTTTGTGGACCCTAAAACTGAACCAAAAGGAGGGGATTTAGGACATTCATGTTTTTGTTGCAGTGGAACAAGAATAGAAACAATTGAGCTGCTGCTTTACCTAGACTTCCCAGCCAGGGATTCTGAAAGAAAAGCTGTGAAATGTGACACTACAAGTAGTGGCATGTGATAGGCACTGGAGTGTAATCACAGTCCTCTTTGAGTCTTGCAGGTGAGGAAATCCTGCTTTTCCCCAGGTAAAATAAAAGGATGTAGTTCTAAGTAGACTTCTCTGCATTATCCTGGGGTCTCTGAATCACAGGAAACGGAAAAATGGGATAAAGAGGGGGTCCCATGACCAAGATGGAACTAGTCTAACGTCAGCTGTAGATCTCAGTAAAGAGACCACAACAGGCAATGTATAGATTACAGTACACTGTGCATGATAAACATACAGGGCTTCTCTGCCCAGGCTTTGAGATGAGCTAGATTTGCAGATAGAGCGTGTGTGTTTTGTAGCCACCCCATTTACCTGCTGTGCTTGAAGAGAAGCCACTCACAATGAAGACATGTGGTGGATGGATGGTGCACTGTGGGGATTTCCAGCCCTAAGGCCTTCTTAGGTATTCAGTGCCAACTCAGGCAACAGTGTGACTGTCTGTTTCAGGGAGAGAACCTGAACAGAGGGGTTCAAGTGTACAGGTGTTGGCTGCCTTCCTGTGAGGTGCCCTACTACCTCATATAGTCTGTTGCTCATTCTGAAAGCTTCTTTCATATGGGAAGGATTTTGGCTAAGGTTTAGAAGCTGTCTCCACCCTAGGCTAGAAGGCACACCTGTAATTAGGAGAGAGACTACAGTGATCAGGGCTGCCTTTAAGAGTGTTGGGGGATTTCCCTCCCTTCTGGGGCTGGTTATTTGGCTAGATTCCCAGTCTACCCACACAATCTTCTTTAACCTGTTGATAGACTTGCAGGGTAACAGAAAGAGAAAGGAACATGGCATCAGAAGATCGAAGTTCATGTCCAGATTCCACAACTTCTTGCCTGTATGGCCTCCCTTTTTGTCACTAATAAAGTCATGATACTTGTCCTTCCTTATTCCTGAGATTCTTCTAAAAACAAAGTACAACAATGTAAGTAAAAGGATTTGGACTTGTAAAGTGCCATTTTAGATTGTCAGCCCCTTGGCTATGGGGAAGCCAGCTTAAGGCTCCCTTTGTAACTGTCACCCAGAGTGAGCTTGCTAAAGAGGTACCCTGCTATGCTGTCACCCAGAGCCCCCACTTGCTACTCAGAATCAACAAACATTAACATTGGCATATTGTAATAAACTACAAGTTTTCATGTAAAGTTGAAGACCCCTTTATTTTAATCCTTGCCCAATCCCATTCCCTTCACTTCTTCCTCAGAGGCAACCACTATGATGAATTCCAGACCATGTTTTACACTTTACCATGCCCATGCTTCCACAGCCACCAGGGCCCAAGACCGCCCACCCCACCCCACATACCCGGGTAGTTTGCAAAGGCAAGACGAATGTGTTTTCCAGGGGTCCATAAAATACCATTCCCCTCCACCCCTGCTCCATCCTGAGCTGCATGCAGATCGGGCAGGGGTGGGTGGAGAGACTGCTGGATACCTACTTTAAACCTGCGTGGGGATTTGCCCTGATTCCTAAAAGGTGAGAGTTGCAGGCGCGCATCAACTGGACACCTTTATTGCTTTGAGAACCAGATAACTTTATTGCTAACAACGGTAAAACTGAAAGATAAAACTGAAGAGAACGTTCTGAAAGGGTAACATGCACGCCCCGCCTGGTGGCCCGACCCAGGGAAGGGACCCCGTGGCTGTGGGGCCAATCTGGGCTCAGGTCTCTTTGACGCGGCCGCCCAAGGTGAGCTTGTCGAACAGGTACTCAGCCAGGCCGGCTTCCGGGGAACACATCTTGCGCAGGTTGCTCACGTAGCCACCCAGCTCTTTGATGGTCTTGACTTGCTCGTGCAGGTAGTGGCTCTCCAGGAAGTGGCACAGCTGGGGGTCGCCCTTCTCCACGGCCAGCTGGTACAGCTCCAGCAGGCTCTGGTTGACGTTCTTCTCCAGGTGGAAGGCGGACTCCATAGCCACTAGCCCGCTCTCCCAGCCTTGGCGCTCTGGCTTCCTGATATCGTGAAGGCGGATGCGGCCACCGCGCAGGTTCTGAAGCTTCATAAGCTTCTGGGCATGCTCCATCTTGTCGTCCGACAGGCGCAGGAAGTAGCGGAAGAAGTTCTCCAGGGCCACGTCGTCCCGGTTGAAGTAGAAAGCCATGGACAGGTACAGGTAGGAGGTGTAGAGCTCCAGCCTGATGTGGCTGTTGATGGCGGCCTCGCAGTTGGTGTCGTATTTCTGGCGGACCTGCGACGGCTGGGCGGTGGCCATGGCGGGCAGCGCGGGTGCGGGCGAGCACACGGGCGAACTCGGTGCGGTAGCGAGGGTAGCGGCTGAGGTGACAAGAATGGCGGATGGTGAAAGGCGGGTGTGCGACGAAACCAGAAGTGGGCGGTGGCGACCGTTAGGGAGGAGCGCGCTTTGTCGGTGGGGGGAGGGGCCGGGGAAACAGAGTCGCGGGGCAAGGGGGTGGGGGCACGAGCGCTGACTTCCGTCGGAAATCCCGGCCACTTGGCGCTGAACGTTTCAAGATCATCTTTTAAAAATAACTGCTCTAGGCCGGGCACGGTGGCTCAAGCCTGTAATCGCAGCACTTTGGGAGGCCGAGGCGGGCGGATTACGAGGTCAGGAGATGGAGACCAACCTGGCCAACATGGTGAAATCCCGTCTCCAGTAAAAATACGAAAAAAATTTAGCCGGGCGTGGTGGCGGGCGCCTGTAGTCCCAGCTACTTGGGAGGCTGAGGTAGGAGAATTGCTTGAACCTGGGAGGCAGAGGTTGCAGTGAGCCGAGTCCACTGCACTCCAGCCTGGGCAACAGCGGGAGACTTGTCTCAAAAAATAACAACAACAACAAACTGCACTATTGAGATACAATTCCTATGCCATGAAATTCACCCTCTGAAACATTTCCGTGGTTTTTAGTATATTCATGAATTTGTGTAACTATCACCCCATCACCAAAAATCTAATTTCAGAACGTTTTCCTTATTCCAAAATGAAATCCCCTACCCGTGAATAGTTACTGCCCATCTCGCCTCCCTCACAGGCCCAACAACCACGAATGAACTCTCTGTTTCTAGAGATTGGATTACTCTGGATATTTCAAATAAATGAAATCATACTATATGCAGCCTTTATATGGCCTCTTTCATTTAGCATGTTGTCTTTAACTTTTATCTTTTTATGGCTGAATTATATTCCATTGTATGGATATATCACATTTTATTTACTCATTCATCAGTTGCTGGGCATTTGGATTGTTTCCATTTTATGACTGTTATGACTAATGCAGCTATGAGGATTTTTATAATAGACATATGTTTTCAATTCCCTTGGGTATATACTTGGGACTGGAATTGCTGGGTCATATGTTAAGACTCTGTTTAACATTTTGAGGAACTGCTAGACTGTTTTCCAAAGTCCCTTCATCAGTTTACATGCCCACTAACAATGTATGAAGGTTCCAACACTGTCATTGTCTTTGTTGTTGTTTTAGTGGATGTAAAGTGGTATCTCATTGTGGTTTTGATTTGCATTTCCCTAATGACTATTGACGTTGAGCATCTTTTCATAGTCATTTGTATATCTTCTTTGGAGAAATCTCTATTCAAGTCATTTGCCCATTTTAAAATTGGGTTATTTGTATTTTTATTGTTGAGTTTTGAGAGTTCTGTATATATTAAGTGTGCAAGTTCTTTTTTAGATATATGATTTGCAAATATTTTCTCTCATTCTGTGTTTTTTTTCACTTTCTTAATGGTGTCCTTTGAAGCATAAAAGTTCTTAATTATGTTCAATTTTTTTGTTTTTCTCTTGTCACTTGTGCTTTTAGTGTCCTATCTAAGACACCATTGCCTAATTCAAGGTCATAAACATTTATGCCTAGGTTTTCTTTGAATAACTTTTTAGTTTTAGCTTTTACATTTAAGTTTCTAACTCATTTTGAGTTAATTTTTATATATGATATGAGGTCGTTGTCCAATTTCATTCCTTTGTGTGTGGATACCCAGTTGTCCTAGCACCATTTGTTGAGAAGACCATTCTTTCTCTACTAGATGGTCTTGGCACACTTGTCAAAAATCAATTGACCATAGATGTATGGGTTGATTTCTGGACTCCCACATCTGTTCTGTCAATCTATGTGTCTAAACTGATGCTGGCACAACACTGGCTTGATTACTATAGCTTTGTAGTGAGTTTTGAAATTGGGCAGTGTAGTCATCCAACTTTGCTCTTCTGCAGGATTACTTTGGCTATTCTGGGTCCCTTGAATTTCCGTATGAGTTTTAGGCTATAGTTGTCAATTTTTTTTTTTTAAAGCCTGCTGGGATTTTGATAGGGATTGCATTAAACCTGTAGGTCATTTGTGGGAATATTGGTATCTTAATAATATTAACTCTTCTAATCCATAAACATAGGATGTCTTTTAATTTATTTAGGTCCAGGACCTTTAAAAAATAAAGATTTTGATTTAGGCTGGGGCCCCAAATCAGAATTTCTAAACATCTCAGGTGATGCCAGACCACATTCTGAGTAGCAATGCTCCAAGAGGGAGGAGGCCTCTATCCCTTATCAAGGTTTGGAGATAAAGAGGACACATATATTGGATTCCACAAGCAAAACTGCCTGTTCTCACATCACAGACTATCTTTGTGCTATTATACTAGATGTAGTTTTCTGTGGGAAAGGGAAGAGGCCTTTCTCCTATCACAAAAAATTGTGAAAGGCTTTAAAATCAGCAAAAACAATTTCCTGGATGTGCTTTTTAGAGTACCTTTCTGGGTTATCTCCACCTTTCATTGACTTTGAGTTATTTTCTAACTCTTCAGATTGTAGAAAACTAATAATAATGCAAATAGTTCTTGTCCACAGAAATGCAAATAAATGTCTGGTGGAATGCAACTGATTTTTGACTTATTTTGCGTCTATTTGTACATTCCTTATTTCAATATTCCTTATTGCCTATATATGTATGGCTCTTTGAATTCTCCTTTGAGCCATTTGTAACATCTTACTGGTTTCCTCATTAATTAATAAGTTAAATAAAATGTTTCATGCATATATTTTATATTTATATGAGAGTCATGATTTTACTTTTTTCCTCTTATTCTTTAGCACTCCCCATGTCCACCCCCACCCAACCAGGAACACAACTGAAGCCCAGGGAAGTTGACTTGGTAAAGTGAGCACTTTTGTGGGTTGCTCACCTGAGGTATGATTCCAGAAAATTATTTAGGACCTAAAGTAATAGAATTCCTGACTGTGGAATTCTGTATGGACTATGGAAAGATAGCATCTCTGAGGGGAAGGAGGCAGGGAGTACTCCAGGGTTGTAGGAGACCAGTGAAAACTAGCAGAGGAAGTAGGTATCCAGGGAGCAGGCCAGAGAGGTACCTCACCAGCAGAACACTGTAGCCACTGTGGGGCTGAGGCTGGCCTGATGCAAACTACGGAGGATAGAGAAGTAGGGGTGACCAGTAAATGTCTGTAGAAAACTGCAACCAGCTGAGAACCAGGAAAGTGATGAGAGTTTCCAGGCAGAGAGTGTAGTTAACAGAGATTTGAGGGGTGGAAGGTTGACTGACTCAGATGGGAGTTTGACAGGCTGAGGTTCATGGTCTGAGTAAAGTTAACCCTGGGAAAGAGGTAGGAACTTGAACTTTTGGAGCCAGGATGAAGGATCCTCTCATCAGCACCTTTGTGCTCCCTGAATCATACCCCTGGAAGGGGTGTTCGGATCCACAGATACTAAGAGGGTGGAGTATCCAGGACTGGGCCTTGGCTTTATCTTCCAGAGAAGGTTCCTTCCAGCTGGTGATCAGATGTAGGGAAGCTCTAATGCATTCTTCTTGGCTGTACTATGGGACAACTATTTAGCACAAAGGCCATAGGACAGTGGTGGCTCCTATTTGGTTGGACACTAATGAGATGTCCAACACTCACACCTATACTGTATTCTAAAAAAGAAATTGCTCTTTCCAGTCTCTAATTCCTTGCTGTTCTGATTTTGGGGGAAAAAAGAAGAATCACCATCTTGAGGAACAAAGGAAAACTCTCAGAACTTAGACACGCCCATTGTATGTAAGTTGATGGCTGATACTTGTCAGTTAAATAGAAATTGTTTCTAAGGTTATAACTTTTCGCTTCTATTCAGTGTGCTGGATAATCTCCATCTGCCTCTCTAAGACTGCTCTCTGCTCTCCTCCATCTTACTTGGCACACTGGGAGGGGGAGGTTGACCTATGTGTACTGCACCCCTAGGTCCCTTGTTCTCTCTGCCTTCTAGTTGCATTCAGCCAATGGGAGTCACTGGCAGGATATGGGAGGGCAGGGGAGGGGTGAAGTTGAGGTATTTTTTCTCTTGGCTCCATCTCTTCGGGGCAGATAATTAAGAGGCACCTTTATTTCCCTTTTATAAATTTTGCTCCCTGGATGTAGTAGGACCATTCTCAGGACAGGCTTTCTGCAAGCATTACTACAAAGAACAGGTATTCTTTGGCTCAAGTTTAATGCACAGACTAAGAAATTCATGGGGTCCCAGAAGCCAGCGTGCAGCTGGATGTTCTTTCAGGCCAGAGGATCAATGGAACTGATGGGAGAAATAAAGTACCTGACTTAGGATAGTCTCGAGCCAAAATAATAATGGCATAGGTGGGACTGCCACCCAAGATTCAGGCTCCAGCTTTCTAGCTTGTGGATTTTCTTTTCTTTCTTTCTTTCTTTTTTTTTTTTTTTTTGAGATGGAGTCTTGCTCTGTCACCCAGGCGGAATGCAGTGGTGTGATCTCGGCTCACTGCAGCCTCCGCCTCCCGGGTTCAAGTGATTCTCCTGCCTCAACCTCCCGAGTAGCTGGGACTACTGGCGCGTGCCACCATGCCCATCTAATTTTTTGTATTTTTAGTAGAGATGGGGTTTCATCATGTTAGCCAGGATGGTCTCGATCTCCGCCCGCCTCATGATCCACCTGACCTTGTGATCCGCCCACTTTGGACCCCCAAAGTGCTCTAGCTTGTGGATTTCTCTGGCCTTTGGATTCCATCTCTCCTTAGGTGACTAGAGTTTTTATTACCTCTCATCTCATTAGTGGATTCATTAGAATGAGGATCAGGTCAGATGAAGCAGGAAGAATAATTTTCTGCTTGTTGGTAACCATATTTAAAAGTCTGGTTGTGGAAGATGTTGACTTTATAAGGTTTGAGGAATATCTCAAGTAAAGCTTTATTTATTTCAAGTAAAGCTTTGTCCTTCTATGCCTACTTTCTATTGCCCATGATTAAAGCTATCACAGAATGTTCTGCACAGCACTATGTCAGTGGGCCCAATCAATGTACATAAGAGATTATACATGCTGATTACTTAATTTGACACCTCTTAATTATTCCTAGGAAGGAAAATATAACTCAATTTCAATTTCAGA